GCGGGCGGGAGGCCCCGGCCCCAGCCCCCTAGCCCCAGCTTTCCCACCAGCTCCCCTACCACCACCCCCACCAGCCCTAGACCCCCGCTGCTGTCCTTTTTTTTTCCTTCAACGTTATTTGTGGAAAATTACTTTCGCTAGCGTATATTAATTATACATAATTGGTTTCATTATGACATTTTCATATGTGATCATATTTACTTCTCATCCTCTCCCGCCCCCTCTCCATCCATGCCTTTTTTGTGTGCATGATTTAATAGGATTCATCTTACACTTTTTGTGGCGCTGGAGATGGGACCCAGTGTATGCGAAGCAAGTGCTCCACGCCTGAGCTACATTCTCCCCATGAAGTATCTTATGCTAGTGTGTTTTTACATTTACTTTTATTTTTTTGTATATGTGTGAGTGGGCGCCTGAGGAAACCAGAAAAAGGCGTTAGATTCCCCTTAGAGCTGGTTACAGGCTCTAAGTTGTGAGCTACCAGATGTGGTTGCTGGGACTCAAACTCAGGTCCTGTGGAAGGGCAATGCATGTTCACAACCACTGAACCATCTCTCCAGTCCCTTTAGTGTGCTTTCTAAAGCTGTCCTGTAACTTGCAGGTAAATGCACTTGATGATCCAGGATTGGAAAGGAGACAGGTTTCCAGTGTAAACAAAATGGCCAGATCTGCCTTGCACTTAGTTTGGGCAGGTGAAGAGGGCCTGCTGCTGTGGGGCACAGTGCTGAGATGTTAATGACTGACTTCTTGCCAGAGGAAAACAGACCTTTCTACCTTCACAGATGTCTTTTTACCAAAAGAGCTTCAAATCAAAAGTATTTTATAGCAGGCAAAAAGAGTTTGTGGGCAGCCCCAAATTCAGAGTTATAGTATGCTGGTGATAAGTGAAAGCAATTTTAATGTGAGTTATAAAAATCCTTTTAATTTACATTTTTGTATCTATTTAAGGTTTACAGTGTGATTTTTGAAATGAGTACTGCACTCAAACAGATTAACATTTATTTATTTATTTATTTATTTATTTATTTATTTACTAAATTTATTGTCCTTTAAGACTTGAGGTCATTTAATTCCCCACTTACATATCAGCGTACAGAAGAGTATATGGGAATGATAGCTTGTGTCGAGGATGCTTGGCAGAAAGAAAGAGCCGTCTGCAGCTCTCTGCTTCCTAGGCACCATTTGAAACATACAAATATCAATATGCTGGCATCCTCAGGCACAAATGACAAGGTTGGTGTTCAGTAACATCCTTTCTGATTTGCAGGTGGCTCCCACGTTCCCTTTTGGGACTTATGAATACCAGTGTGTTCACATCCTCTCACATAAATAGTATTGGTGATGGTCAGTGGTCACTAATGGATTTGATGTAGACAAATTTGTTCCCATTGTCTAGAAAGGTTTAGACCTCTTACCGTAAGGAGGGAAGACTGTTTGTTTTACAACCTGAGAAAGGCCATGTTAAAGGACCAGATGAAGAAACACTGGAGTAACTTTCCCCTTAATGAGATAAGTACTTAATGCACCCTGAAGCTCTCGATGCAGCGATGCAGTGCAGACTTGGCCTGTCTGCTTTGACTTCTTCCTCAGAAAGCAGAACTTTCTCCTATTTTTGCAGCTTACCTCTGACACCTCTCAAAATCCAGAGCTGCCTGGCCTCAGGTTCTGTGCAGTCTGGCTACCCCTCCCATCAGCTGTTCCATGCTCAGTGCTGAACATATCTACTTGCTTGTTTAGTTCTTTTTGTTGTTGCTTTTTTGAAACAGTGTTAACTCTGTAGCCTAGCCTGGCCTTGAACTCATGGTGATCCTCCTGCACTCCTAGTGCTGGAATTACAAGAATGCCCCACCATGCCCCACCAGAGTTCTAATTCAAAAAAATAGAGCTTTCCTCTTCTTTCCGTATCCTTCCTCCTGGCTACTTCAGAGATTCTAAACTTGCCTGCCCTGTGGCTTTCTTTCCATAACACTGATAGTTTGTCTTTGAGTTCTCTTTTGAACCTGCAGATAGGGACCCTGTGCATCTTAGGTGACCTACGACTTTATAGTTCCTACAGTCTCCTAGTAGGGTGTAGTGCAGTTGGAGACTGGTAAACTGGTAAATGAAAAGGAGAAACTGATGAGCACAAACTTAGAATGAAGCCATACTTCAGAGGTTGATTACTGTTGTGAAAATTGCTTCTCTGAGTTTTGAGTTTGTAGCTGTTTTGCCATGTGATGACTGTTTTGCAGGAAGACCAGGGAATTTACCAGAGCAAAGTCCGGGAGCTGATCAGTGACAACCAGTATCGGCTGATTGTCAACGTGAATGACCTGCGCAGGAAAAATGAAAAGCGGGCTAACTGGTGAGGGGCAGGGTTTTTAAAGGGTTATCTTGGTTCTCAGTGAGAACGGCTGCATCTTGCTCAGACTGGATCAGTCTTCTCAGGAAAAGAGCCTCGTTGCATGGGGTAGATCTGCAGGCCTTCCTTGCTTCATTTACAAAGAGGAGGTGGTGGGTATCTTCCTCTCAAGTGCTCCCACAGTCCAATGTTCATCTGAATATCATTTTTACATCTTTGGTGAACTGAAGCAAACTTTACTGAGTCTTTCGTAATGGCAGTTCAAAGACACGGGTTTTCTCTCATTGACTACAGTGACTAAGACTGTTTCCTTCTGTTTTGAGGGTCAGTTTTCTTATGCTCAGCCTAATGCTTCTTCTCTCTCTTGCTCATACACAGCCTCCTGAACAATGCTTTTGAGGAGTTGGTTGCATTCCAGCGGGCCTTGAAGGACTTCGTGGCCTCCATCGATGCGACGTATGCTAAGCAGTATGAGGAGTTCTATATAGGCCTGGAAGGCAGCTTTGGCTCGAAGCATGTCTCTCCCCGGACTCTCACTTCCTGCTTCCTCAGCTGTGTGGTCTGTGTGGAGGGCATCGTTACGAAATGTGAGTGGGTTGAAGGGACCACTAAGGAAATGGAGGTGGCATAGATTTGGGAGCCTGAGAAGCTGGATCAGGTGGTTTGCAGCTTCAAAGAAGTGAAGCATTGAAATGACATAGGAGAACTTGCAGGAGCTCAGGGTTCGCAATAATTAGGGATCCACAGTGGCCACCTGTGTTGGCAGAATGCTGAATTCTGAGAGTCAGAGGAGTGTTGCCTCCTAGCCATCTCATGGCAGCCCTGAATATTTATTACACCTTAATTGACATCAGTTGTACTTAAAATTTTACATAGCTACAGTGATAAGCTATATATAAATGTCAAGATGAATAAATGACAGGAATTATTGAGATAATTTAATCTAATTGGAAAGATGCAGTATTTAAAGTCCTCGGGTTTGCTTGGGTTTCAGTTCTTCTGTCAATGTCTAGTTGGGTGACTTTACACACCTTTCCTTTCCTAGGTTCCCTAGTTCGTCCCAAAGTTGTTCGCAGTGTCCACTATTGTCCCGCTACTAAGAAGACCATAGAGCGGCGCTACTCTGACCTCACCACCCTGGTGGCTTTCCCATCCAGTTCTGTGTATCCCACGAAGGTGAGGGCATGAGTCAGTGGGGCCTCCTCAGCCATTACAGTAAAAAATGTCTTTGTTTTCTTTTGAGACAGGGTCTCCATGTAGCCCCAGCTGACCTAGAACTTGCTATATAGACCAGGTTGGCCTTGATCTCACAGAGATCTACCTGCCTCTGCCTCTAGAGTGCTGGGATTAAAGGTATATACTACCATGCTTGGCTCAGATGTGTTTTAATTTAAGTAATTGTGTAATAGCTGAAATCTTCTAGAAGTAGGTAGTTTGAAAAGTAAGGTTTCATTTAGAAGGTTGGCTGCAAGACAGTTTAATGTAGAAACTCCACAACATAGAAAGAAATTTTCATTTTATGTGTATGAGTGTTTTGCCAGCATGTATGTAAGTACAACTGTGCTGTACAGTGCTTGCAGAGACCCGAGGAGAGTGTTGGATGCTCTGGAACTGGAGTTACGGATGGTTGTTAGCTGCCATGTGGGTGCTGGGAACTGAACCCTAGACTTTTTTAAGAGCAGCCAGTGCTCTTAATCACTGAGCCATCTCTCCATTCCCCCAGAACTTTTTTTTTAGAGTAAGGTTTATGGTTTAGAGAGATGGCTCAGTGGGTAAGAGTGCTTGCTCTGCAAGCATGAAGAACCTGGATTTAAATCCTTAGCACTCATGTCAAAAAGCTGGGCGTGGGTGTGTCGAGGGGGAGGCAAGAGAGGTCGATTCCAGGTACTCAATGGCCTGTGAGGCAGCCTAGCTGAAACAGTGAGATTCCAGTTCCATGAAAGACTTTAAGCAGTAAGGTGGAGAGTGATAGGAGGCACCTGCCTGGCATCATGCTCTGGTTTGCACATGCACATGTATGCATCTCATCTACATATGTGTGTGGTAACACACGTACACCACAAACACAAGGAATAACATTAAGAAAATTTAGACTATGGAAGGGCTAAAAGAAAAAAAATATCATCTGAGCTGCACAGATATTTTAGCAAAGCTGTAATTGTAACATTTTGTAGTAGGCTTTTAAAAAGTAAAATACTTCTGCTGTATGATGCTATTGTGTTTTTGCAGAAATTTCAGTGGATTTGAAGAAAGTTTATCTTTATGGTATTCAGATAGATAAAAATTGAGGACAACACAGGCTTTCTTAATGAGACAAAAAATCATTAATATTGATGACTTGATGTCTGAACTCCTTTAGTTAAAGACTATCCCTTCTCTTGAAATTTTAATTGAAAATGACTATCCAGATCATTGTTAGACCCTATGGAGGACATAGATAAGAAGTAACAATCAGTCCTTGTCTGTAACTCCAGTGAGTGGAGAAAGCAAACATCAACAGCTGAAGCAAGAATGCCTTAGACTTAGAGCTGAAACATACCCAGAATCAGTCTGTCTCCAGATGGAATGCTGGGATTAGAGGTGAAGTGACTTCAGGTCTCTTGTTAGCGATGACCCTAAAGTTAGCCCCAGGTCTTTAGTTGAAGCCAGTTGCGTTTTCTAAATTGCTTTGTTTTCTTCATTAAAGTCTCCACTTTCTAGAATTTTTTTTCTTGGGAAGTACTTGGGGTTCTCTTCTGATTATATTTCATGACCAAGTTTCTTTCCCTGAGGGCTGAAGTGCTCTGGGCCAGGTCATCAGGGATGGTGTTTAAAAGTGTGGGCTTTGGAGTGACACCTGCACTGAGCCTTGGTACAGGCTATGTGACCTTTAGAAAGTTGTCTGACTCTCATAGTCTGCTTCCTTGGCCATGAAATGGGGAAAGTATCTGCTTTAATAAGATTGTGCTAATTGCGTGATAATAGCAAGGTTCCTGGCATGGAGCAAGCACTCGATCAGAGATGGTTATTGTGGTTTTAGAAAATTCAAAAATGGAAGCAAAACTTTAAAAGTATTTTATGGGAGTTTCATACACATGTAAGAAACATTAAAGTGTATAATTTGGTTAGTTTTTACCAGCTGAATATACCCATATAACCAGACTCTAAAGTGGGAAACAAACTTAACCAGCTCACAGAAATCCCTCTTGAAGGCCATGCTATCCTGGTTTCTAACAGCAGGGATTTGGCTCATTTTCTGTACTGTGTACATGCTCTGTGTTGGTCTCTGTTCTGTGTACATGCTCTATGTTGGTCTCTGTTCTGTGTACGTGCTCTGTGTTGGTCTCTGTTCTGTGTACGTGCTCTATGTTGGTCTCTGTTCTGTGTACGTGCTCTATGTTGGTCTCTGTTCTGTGTACGTGCTCTATGTTGGTCTCTGTTCTGTGTACGTGCTCTATGTTGGTCTCTGTTCTGTGTACGTGCTCTATGTTGGTCTCTGTTCTGTGTACATGCTCTATGTTGGTCTCTGTTCTGTGTACGTGCTCTATGTTGGTCTCTGTTCTGTGTACGTGCTCTATGTTGGTCTCTGTTCTGTGTACGTGCTCTATGTTGGTCTCTGTTCTGTGTACGTGCTCTATGTTGGTCTCTGTTCTGTGTACGTGCTCTATGTTGGTCTCTGTTCTGTGTACGTGCTCTATGTTGGTCTCTGTTCTGTGTACGTGCTCTATGTTGGTCTCTGTTCTGTGTACGTGCTCTATGTTGGTCTCTGTTCTGTGTACGTGCTCTATGTTGGTCTCTGTTCTGTGTACGTGCTCTATGTTGGTCTCTGTTCTGTGTACGTGCTCTATGTTGGTCTCTGTTCTGTGTACGTGCTCTATGTTGGTCTCTGTTCTGTGTACGTGCTCTATGTTGGTCTCTGTTCTGTGTACGTGCTCTATGTTGGTCTCTGTTCTGTGTACGTGCTCTATGTTGGTCTCTGTTCTGTGTACGTGCTCTATGTTGGTCTCTGTTCTGTGTACGTGCTCTATGTTGGTCTCTGTTCTGTGTACGTGCTCTATGTTGGTCTCTGTTCTGTGTACGTGCTCTATGTTGGTCTCTGTTCTGTGTACGTGCTCTATGTTGGTCTCTGTTCTGTGTACGTGCTCTATGTTGGTCTCTGTTCTGTGTACGTGCTCTATGTTGGTCTCTGTTCTGTGTACGTGCTCTATGTTGGTCTCTGTTCTGTGTACGTGCTCTATGTTGGTCTCTGTTCTGTGTACGTGCTCTATGTTGGTCTCTGTTCTGTGTACGTGCTCTATGTTGGTCTCTGTTCTGTGTACGTGCTCTATGTTGGTCTCTGTTCTGTGTACGTGCTCTATGTTGGTCTCTGTTCTGTGTACGTGCTCTATGTTGGTCTCTGTTCTGTGTACGTGCTCTATGTTGGTCTCTGTTCTGTGTACGTGCTCTATGTTGGTCTCTGTTCTGTGTACGTGCTCTATGTTGGTCTCTGTTCTGTGTACGTGCTCTATGTTGGTCTCTGTTCTGTGTACGTGCTCTATGTTGGTCTCTGTTCTGTGTACGTGCTCTATGTTGGTCTCTGTTCTGTGTACGTGCTCTATGTTGGTCTCTGTTCTGTGTACGTGCTCTATGTTGGTCTCTGTTCTGTGTACGTGCTCTATGTTGGTCTCTGTTCTGTGTACGTGCTCTATGTTGGTCTCTGTTCTGTGTACGTGCTCTATGTTGGTCTCTGTTCTGTGTACGTGCTCTATGTTGGTCTCTGTTCTGTGTACGTGCTCTGTGTTGGTCTCTGTTCTGTGTACGTGCTCTATGTTGGTCTCTGTTCTGTGTACATGCTCTGTGTTGGTCTCTGTACTGTGTACATGCTCTGTGTTGGTCTCTGTTCTGTGTAAGTGCTCTGTGTTAGTCTCTGTTGTGTGTACATGCTCTATGTTGGTCTCTGTTCTGTGTACATGCTCTGTGTTGGTTTCTGTTCTATGTACATGCTCTGTGTTAGTCTCTGTTCTGTGTACATGCTCTGTGTTGGTTTCTGTTCTATGTACATGCTCTGTGTTGAGCAGCTTTTGTGCAGCACTGTGTATGCAGAGTATTCATTTGTGAGACTGTAGCATGTTTATTTAACCATTCTGTTGAAGGGATACACGGGGACATTCTCTAAATTTTCCTTTTAGGACTAATGCTGCTGTGCACGTTGCAGTGAGTGAGCGCCTTTGGGTGAATGTTTCTATTGGGCATTTCTTGGGAGTGGAAAAACTGCATCAGAGTATAGTCACAGACTCTGCTTTGGAAAGAGGAAGTGGGCAGGATCCTAATTGAGATGTTAGTGCAGCCAAGGTTCCATCAGTGTGAATGGCCTGTCCCTTCCATTGGTTGGTTTGTTGCTATCCAGGGATAGGGCTGGAAAGGCTGGAGGGATGCTTAGGCTTTTATTGTTTCTATATGGTAAAATTCATGGTCTTTGGATATTGTTTTCCATGTTGGGTGATTGCTGCATTTTGAACACAAGACTGAAATGACTGTTTTTCTGTGTCTTCTTCTAGGATGAGGAGAACAACCCCCTGGAGACAGAGTATGGCCTGTCTGTGTACAGGGACCACCAGACCATCACCATCCAGGAGATGCCTGAGAAGGCCCCCGCTGGCCAACTTCCTCGCTCTGTGGATGTCATTCTGGATGATGATCTGGTAGATAGAGTGAAGCCTGGCGACCGGATCCAGGTGGTGGGGACCTACCGCTGCCTTCCTGGGAAGAAGGGAGGTTACACCTCAGGGACCTTCAGGTAAAGGGTCAGCTGTGAAATGTTGGGAGCTCTGTTGGCAGCTTGTGTCCTGCCAGTGCTCTGGCTTCAGGTTGCCACATTCTGGAGAGCGCTGATATCAGGAGGACAAGGGTGTGAGCTGCCTGCCTCTGACGAGGTGCCTCCCGTACCTCTTCCCTGTCAGATGGTGCTGGCATGTTTGTCATCCTGGGCCAAAAGGTGGAGTGACTGGTGACAGGAACACAGCCTCATGGTTAGCCTGGGAGCTTCTTCTGGTTCCTGCCTCCTTCCTGTGTGCACTTACTTGTTTTAACCTTTAGTCAGCAAGACATAAATTATACGAGTGGACATTGTTACCTGTACTTGGGTTCATGGACAGAGAATCAGCTGTTGAGTTCAGAAACTCTAACCCCCACTCCTCCCATTTCCTGGTTTCCTTTAATAGTCTAAGAACTCTTAGAGTTAGCCTGGCCTGGTGGTGCATGCCTGTCCTAGTTTGTTTCTTCATTGCTGTGACAAAACACTCTGACCAATACCGACTTGGGGAGGAAAGGGTTTATTTAGCTTACATCTCTCAGGTCACAGTTCATCAGGGAGCCCAAGGTAGGAACTCAGGGCAGGAACCTGGAAGCAGGAGCTGGAGCACAGGCCATGGAGGAACACTGCCTACTGGCTTGCTCCCCTGGCCCCTGCTCAGCCTGCTTTCTTATGCAACACAGGCCTACCTGCCCAGGGGTGGCACCACCCACAGTGGGCTGGGCCCTCTCACATCACTCATCAAGAAGATGCCCCTCAGACATGGCCACAGGCCAGTCCAATAGAGGCAATTCCCCAACTGAGGCTCCCTCAACCCAGGTGTGTCAAGTTGATACTAAAGCTGTCCAGTACAATACCTTTAGTCCTAGCATTTGGGAGGCAGAGACAAGCTGATCTCTGAGATCGAGGCCAATCTGGTCTCCATAATGAGTTCTAGGTGAGCTGGGGCTATAGGAAGACCCTGTCTCAAAAATCAAAAAGGCAAAAAAAGGGCATTTAGTGCTGCTAGGGAGGTCCAGCAGGCTTCCTCCTCCCATTCTCTTCACTCAGGACTGTGCTGATCGCCTGTAATGTGAAGCAGATGAGCAAGGATGTTCAGCCTTCGTTCTCTGCTGAGGATATAGCCAAGATCAAGAAGTTCAGCAAAACCCGTTCCAAGGTCTGCAATCCTTTAGAGATTTAGGGTGGGACTGAGTTTGAAAGAGTCATGTTTGGGTATGTGGCTGGGGAGACCAGAAGAGGGCTTTGGCTCTCCTGGAACTGGAGTTATGGTCAGTTGTTAGCCACCATGTGGGTGCTGGGACCTGGGTTCTCTGCAAAAAGCAGCCAGTGCTCTTAACTGCAAAGCCATTGCTCCAGCCCTGGTTTTTACTTTCTGAAGACAGGGTAACCACGTTTAAAATAGAATTAGTAGATGACTGTGTTGTAAAGGTTACAGCTAACCCACGATTTCATGATAAATAATATTAATAATAAAGTTTTCATAATTTAGCTGAGAGTTCTCTCTTCTTTATGGTGGTGTTGGGAATGGAAATTTTTTTGGTTTTTAAAGAGTCTACGTAGCCCACGCTGGTCTGGCCTCAGTCCACTACACCCCTGCCTTATTCTAAGTGCAGGAGTTACAGGAATCTAGGCTACCTCTTTATCTGCTTTGGGAATTGTCTGATTACTTACTGGGTTTATCTTAGAGCAGAAGCTTTTGCACTTAGAAATCTGCTTATCTTTGTATATTTCTGAAAGCGTTTTCGGTAAGCTCCAGAAACCCCCCTGACTCTTGCTAGGCTTTTCACTCAATGGGTCCTTCCTCCTCTAGGACATCTTTGACCAGCTGGCCCGATCACTGGCCCCTAGCATCCATGGGCATGACTATGTCAAGAAGGCAATCCTCTGCTTGCTCTTGGGAGGGGTGGAACGAGACCTTGAAAACGGCAGCCACATCCGTGGGGACATCAATATTCTTCTAATAGGTATGGTGTTTCGGAAGTGCCGTGAACTCTGCTTCTTACTTTGAGGAGTGGGGTTGTGAGAACCTGCAGTTCATGGGATTATACCTTCTGTGCCTGGTCATATTTCAAAGGGTAAAAATGGAGCCTTTCAAAAATTACCCCTGGAGTTCTTGATTTATTATATCTAAAATTATTCTGTGAATGATAAAGAGAAAAGGCAAAGAACTAATATTCAGCAACTAATTCTGTATCTGCTAAGAACTGTGCTGCAGAAGCAGACTTCGCAGGGGTGTGTAAGCGTTTCCCAGATAGTCATCACTGCGTTCTTCTGCAGGTGACCCTTCTGTTGCCAAGTCTCAGCTTCTGCGGTATGTGCTTTGCACTGCACCCCGGGCCATCCCCACCACTGGCCGGGGCTCCTCTGGAGTGGGTCTGACAGCCGCTGTTACTACAGACCAGGAAACAGGTACGGGGGTAAGGCTCCTTAGCCGAGGCCCACTGTGAGCTTAGCTGGCTGTAGGCACTGACTGTGTGTGGAAGATACATTTGAAGGGTTTGTTGAGGTCATGCTTTAGAAGACGTGAGTGTCTGGAATAGTGAGTGGGTGAATTACTTGTCTTTGTTAAGTGTTTGTGCACGCTCTTGCTAAGGATGTTTTCTAGAATGTGATTTGAAGAATTGGCAACAGGGAAAGCTTAGTGAATGAGGAGTGAGATGAAAAGGAAACTTGGACTGTCTTATGAACTAGAGGAACGACTGGAAGATTAGTGAAGTCTAGTTGGATGTCACTTGAGGAGGTGAAGACAGCTAATCTGTACATTGAGAGTGCTGTGAAGGACTCTGAGACTGTTGAGGTTGGGGCTGAGAAAGGACTCCATCATGGTTTCCTAGTAAGCCTCACAATAGTTGCTCTCCTGGTTCCTATGTGCTGCAACGACAGATGCCTGGGAAGGAGACTGAAGTCCTTCTCTGTCTCGTGTGTAACTGAGACCATGCCACAAACATTTACCTCCTCTCTTACCAGGGGAGCGCCGTCTGGAAGCAGGTGCCATGGTCTTGGCAGATAGAGGCGTGGTTTGTATTGATGAGTTTGACAAGATGTCTGACATGGATCGCACAGCCATCCATGAGGTGATGGAGCAGGGTCGCGTGACCATCGCCAAGGCTGGCATCCACGCTCGGCTGAATGCCCGCTGTAGTGTTCTGGCTGCTGCCAATCCTGTCTATGGCAGGGTAAGTGGAATCAGGCCCATAACCGCGATCTTGGCGTTTGTTCTGCCAAGTCACTCGGCTGAGAAGTTTTTACAGGGGAATGGCAGGCCCCAAACCAAACTCACCCCATTATTGTCCTTTGGTTAGAGCAGTGACACCTCACCCATTCCTATGCAACAGAGTCCTCTGGAAAATAGCTTCTAGGTGTATGGGGTGGGGGAGGGAGGGAAGGAGAAAGGGGGAGGGGGAGAGAGAGAGAGAGAGAGAGAGAGAGAGAGAGAGAGAGGGGGGGGAGAGAGAGAGAGAGAGAGAGAGAGAGAGAGAGAGAGAGAGAGAGAGATCCTCCTGCCTCAGCTTCTTGAGTGCTGGAATTACACCTGTGAGCCACCATACCTGGCTCAAAAATAACTGAAATGCAAAAGAAAACAGGTCAACTAGCCAGCAATTTGAGTAGAAATGCTCCGGGCACACAGCAGAAGGCTTTCTACATAAAACAGAGATAGTACATGAACATGAAGTCTTCCTTCTATCTTGTTCTTTCCCAAGAGATCAATGCTGGCAGCTCTGGAGTGTTTCAAGAATTAGAAAGTTAAGCATGTACCAGCAGCTACGCTGTCTTCTTGTTAGGGATTATCTATGTGTGTAGCATGACTGTGATACCAACATACAACCCTTTATGTTTATTCTGCCTGTGGCTTACTGAGTTTTTCCATTTATAAAGAAATTGTTTTTATTAATGTACAAAGTAATAGGTTAATTATGGAATTTTCATACATACATCATTGTACATTTCTCATACCCCCCCCTTTTATCCTGTCTTGTTTTATTCTCCTCCGTTCTTACTGTTCCCCTTCCTCTCCCTCCTCCTTTGATCTACACACATTTTAAACTTTCCACTGGTGACACCTTTTTTGCCGTAGAAATTTTGTATGTGACCCTAGACATACAGCTATATCAAATAGATACACAAATCAAACATTTACTGGTAATAAATTATTTTAAAACAATTCTTTGATATATATTATTAGCTTTTGCTAAAGATGAAATCAAATTCTCATACTAACAAAATGTGCTTGTTTCTCGTGTGTGTGTGTGTGTGTATGCATGTGGGTGATTGTGTGTGTTTGCCCGTGTGCCCACATGTATGTATGTGGGTGATTGAGCGTGAGGAGGCCAGCTGAAGACATCAGATGTGTTCTTGCTCTAGTATCCTCTAACCTATTCCCTTGAGATGGTCCCTCTCTTGAATCTGGAGCCAGGCTAGCACCTAGCAAACCCCAGTGAGCTTCTTGTCTCCACCCTGCATAGTGCTAGAATTAGAAATTTATGTGTGATCACGACCAGCCTTTTATGTGGGCTCTGGGGATTTGAACTCAGAGCCACATGTTGGGTAATAAATGCTCTTACACACTGATCCAAGCCACTGCTGTTTATTTTTACATAAAGAATTGGCTGAACCCTGATACGCAAAGATGTAGAGCATGTTCAATGTTTTTCAGAGTTGATAATTAGATTTTATAATTGTCATTGGTGGGAATGCAACTTTGCATAATATGCAGTACAGAGAGGCAGAAATGTGCTAAGTATCATTTCAAAAGCTACTAGAAGTTCTGTACTTATCTGGCTGAAATTTAATGATTTTTAAAAGTAATTCTCATGCCCATAGTTCCAACAGCAGTTAAAGAATTTTTTGATTTATTTACTTTTATTTATTTTATGTGTATGAGTTTTGCCTGCATGTATGTAACTGCAGCACATGCGTGCAGTGCCCGTCAAGGCCAGAAGAAAGCATTGGATCTCCTGGAACTGGAGTTATGGATGGTTGTTAGCATGATGTGGGTGCTAGGAACCAAACCTGGATCTTCTGCAAGAGCAGCCAGTGCTCTTAACTGTGAGCATCTCTACAGTTCCTCAAACGGAAATCTTTAAAATCAGACTGTAGCACAGCAATACAAAGAGACTAATTTGGTACTTATATATTTATTTGATGCTGAGGAATGATATTAGGAAAACATTAAAAGTCTGCATTCCATAATTAAACCACTGTGTTTCTAAGAGCAAAAAGCTTTGTGTGTACAGTAAAATCACTGCAGTTGATAACATGGTGATCTCAGATCTGAGCCTTGTCAGGCAGTATTTGTTGGTGTTGTGGAGTGGGACAGCACATACCACATACAATGCAGGGTGAATAAGCGTGTTTATAACATGGCTGCACTGAAGTTGCATGCTGCAGTAGGAGCCAGCATGACTGCTACATGGTTGACCTGGGATTTGTTTATGGTTAGTGTATAGTCAGAAGCCTGTTACTATTGACATTTTTTGTGACCCTCCCTTCCTGGTACCGGGTCATAACCCATAATTAAAGAAGCTATGGTATATATGTGTATGTGCTTTAAATCCAAATTACACATAATTCAAATATAGTAATCTCCAGTTCCATCCACTTTTTTGTAGACGATATGACTTCATTCTTTTTTTTTAAAAGAAACTTACTTTTGTAGTTTTTAAAAAATGGACATTTTTGTTGTGTGGGGGTGAATGCTGCCATAACAGTGGAGCCAAGACAGTGTGCTGGAGCCCATCCTCCTTCCCCATATGGGTCCCAGGAATTGAACTTGACTCATTGATCATCTCACTGGCCCTTAGTGTATACGTGTTCGCTTTGATAGAGATTGCCAAACTGTTTTCTTTAAAAACTAAACTAAAACAGATAAATAATTGTATATGTCAACTTCTTTTATTCTCTTAGTAGTATGAACTGTAAGTACTTATTTTATCGATGAGAAGATGGAGGCTCAGTTTATGTAACATGTTTAAGAGTTACAAACTAGAAAATAGAGATTTAAACCTAGAGCTCTGATTGTTCTGGGATGGCATATTATCCCACAGTACCTAGAAATCTCTTTTGGTGGTTCTTTTCTCTTTTTTTATGGGGGAGTGGGGTTGAGATAGGGTCTCCCTGTGTATCCTAGGCTGACCTCTAATTTTGGATCCTCATGCATTAGCCTCCCAGGTTGTTGAGAATTCAGGTATGTGTCACCATGCTTGGCTGTTTTGGTCATCTGTTAAATCCATCAGCTCTGGCTCAGACTTTTTGACTCCAAATCACTGAGTTGGGGCAGTCTTTTTGACAGGTGAGGGAAGGGAATCATCTCTGAATTGACCTTTTTTAGGAATGAGAACAGAGAATCAAGCTTGAGGGGGGCTGGGTTTGATTCTGGAAGTCAGCAAACGAAAGACGATTTACACATTTCAGTAGCTTGAAAATGCTTCATTTTCTGCTTTTCTGTGTGTGTTACTGGGGGTTGGAGCTGGGGCCTTTCACAAGCTAGGCCACACTGATCTATATCCTCAACCCTTATTCTCTGTTGCTTGTCTGTTTTCATTTGTGTCGTCTAGCCTTCTAGTCCCATTTCCAGGATTGATCTGGCTTTGCCGTCCTTTCTTCCCATTAATGTTGCTTCCACTCCCTTTTTTCTTGTGTTCCCCAGTATGATCAGTACAAGACCCCAATGGAGAACATTGGGTTACAGGACTCACTGCTGTCTAGATTTGATCTGCTCTTCATCATGCTGGATCAGATGGATCCTGAGCAGGATCGGGAGATCTCAGACCACGTCCTTAGGATGCACCGATACAGAGCCCCTGGGGAGCAGGATGGCGATGGTGAGTCCATGGAATGGCTGGAACGATCCTAGCATATGGCTGACCCCTGGCCCAGACCAAGGAGTGAGGCTATTTGGTGTTTGGGTTGATACTGTAACTTGCTCGCTGGAGGTTGAGTGCCTGTCTGCTTTTGGCTTCTGAGATACCTTTTAGCATCTTCTGAGCGCTTCTACCTTCTTTGTGGGTCACATGTGTCTGTCTGCTCCCTTCCTGTGCTGTAGAAGAGGTAGTTTCTCTTGGGTTAAATTCCTTCTTAATCTTTTTCTCTCAACTTGGGTTAACCAGCCATGCCATTGGGTAGTGCTGTGGATATCCTGGCCACGGATGACCCTGACTTTACCCAAGATGACCAGCAAGACACCCAGATTTACGAGAAGCACGACAACCTTCTGCATGGAACCAAGAAGAAAAAGTAAGTGTCCTCTTACCCTCTCCTGAGGGAGCCTGGGGTTCATGTATGGCTGAGCATAGGGCATTGTATGCTCAGGTCAGGGAGTTGTGGCCACGTGGGCTTGCCTGCATCTTTTTTGGCCCACAGATACACGTTTGTCCTGGCCCGTTGCTTTGAGTATGCTTCTGATTGATTCAGCTCAGGGTCAGATCTTTTCCTGAAATAGAAAGTTTCGACATGCTTCTGCCATCTCAGCACTTGGAGGCTGGGGCAAGAGGACAGCTGTAAGTTTGGGGCTAGCCTAGGCTAGTCTCAAACCTGACAACATGCCCAACTGCTGGTGGGTGTGTTTCCCTGCTTTGAGCCATGGTGCAGAAAAAAGCAGAGCTCAGTCTTCAGAGCTGTTTGGTTGCACAGAATTTGGAATCAGAAGCTGAATTTGAGTCTAAGCCAGTTTTCCCATATGTAAAATAGGGCATATAATACCTAAACTTCTTCCCTAAATATCTAACCTTCAAATATGCCTGAAAAGTAAAAAACATGAATGGGCTTTGTGTGTGTTCCTTGGGAAGTTGGAGGTATGAGAATGTTTTCTTAGGCTTCTTCTTTGCTCTGCCTTGGTAACTCAGAAGCAGAACCATCACCCCAGACAGGTTGTAAGATGTGGCAGAAAAGTGGCATTCACTGTCTTTGGTCCAGGGAGAAGATGGTGAGTGCAGCATTCATGAGGAAGTACATCCATGTGGCAAAGATCATTAAGCCCGTCCTGACACAGGACTCAGCCGCCCACATTGCAGAGGAATACTCACGTCTGCGCAGCCAGGACAGCATGAGCTCGGACACCGCCCGGGTGAGTGCAAAATGTCCCTTAGAGCAGGGCCACGAGTCCCTGCTCACTGGGAAAGGGGAGAATTTTAATTGGTGATTCTCCCTGGTCTGGAGAGCTTTCCTGTCAGCACAAGTTTAATTATTCTCCTGTACAAAGAAAATAAAATCAAGACTCCAGAGGTAACAAGAATCTCATTTGGTGAGATTCTGAGGAGCGACCCTGCTCCATTCTTCACAGTGTGAAAATAATAAGAGCCATCCTCCAGTCAGGTTTGAGAGGAGGCAGAAAGGTAGATCATGGATTCCTATTAGATATAGACCCTATTATGTTACTTAGAATGGATGTGAAGGGCTATTTTGAATACAAATAACGAAGGAATTGATTTTTTTTCCTGTAGAAGTCCCCAGAATGGTGTGAATGTCTAAGATACTTGGGTAGGACTTGGACAAATAACTAGGTGCTAAATGCTAAGATAGCTATTCAGAGCAGTTTCTAGGAACCTGCTATCGATGCCCTTAAATTCTGTACAGCTTTTGGAAACCATGTAGTTTATACAGAATTTTAAAGCAGACCCAAATTCAAAGTCCCCTTTCGATGATGTAGACTTTGGGATTTAATTATGGTCTTAGATCATCTACTCTAGCGTCACCCCTGTTCTGTCTCTGGGTGTTAGTTCTTTACTTAGAACAAGGTCTTTGTTTGGGTTTTTTTTTTTTTTTTTTTTTGTTTTTTTAAATGCTCCCGCCGGCCGCCGCCAGCCACCAGCCGAGGGGTGGTCCCCCCCTGGCTTTCACTTGAGCCCCTGACCCATGGTAGTCACTGGCCAGAGGCAGTCGGCCCCTGACTCATGCACGCATTAGTTCAAGGCAGGTAGGGTGGGCAGCTTCTGCTGCCAACCCCGTGAGGGTCTTTATGTAGCCCCAGGTAGCCTGGAACTTAATATGTAGACCAGGGCTGGCCTAGATTTCACAGATCCTTCTGCCTCTGACTCCTGAGTGTTGAAACTTACAATGTATACCTGCCTAGTCCTAAACACAGAATGTGATTCTTTAAGCCAAGGACACCATTCAGACAATAGCATTTTAAAAAGATATGGGCACTCAATTTGATTTACACCCACCCAGTAGGAATCACTTGCTAGGAATGTGTCTAGAGGCTCCTCATCTATACTTAAATGAGTTTGCACAACTTTTTTTTTTTTTTTAATTATTTATTATTTTTATTTTATGTGTATGCATGTATTGCCTGCATGTAGGTAAGGGCACCCGTGTTGTGCAGTGCCCGTGGAGGACAGAAGAGGCTGTCGGATCCCCTGGAACTGGAGTTATGGACAGTTGTTAGCTGCCATGTGTGTGCTGGAATTCGAACCTGAGTCTTCTGCAAGAACAACCAGTGTTCTTAACTGCTGAGCCATCTCTCCAGCCCCAAGTTTATACAACTTATAGAATCCCTGAACGTGCTCACATGGGTTTCCTTAACCATTTTTCTTACCTTTCTGTATTAAATATTTATTATTATTTTTATTTTATGTGTGTGAGTGTATTGCCTGTATTTATGTAAGTGCACTCATGTCATACATTGCCTGGGGAGGTCAGAAGAAGGCATTGGATCCCCTGGAACTGGCGTTACAGACTGTTAGCTGCCATGTGGGTGCTGGAAATCAAACTCACGTCTTCTGCAAGAGCAGCCAGTGTTCTTAACTGCTGAGCCAACTCTCCAGCCCTGCTGTCTGAATTTTTTTTTTATTAGTTGTTTGACCATTTCATAGATGTATGTAGTGAATTCTGATTACTCCCCTCCACACACTTCTCCCATCCCCATCATCCCTCTTCTTCTCTACCAGTCCTTTTGGCACATTCATGACTTGGTTTTGTTTTGTGACCCATTTAGTTTAACCAAGGCCATTAGAGTGACTGTTGGATTGGAACCACCCATTAGAGTCCCCACCCTGAGCCTCTCAGCAGATAGTTCTGCAGTGAGGAATATGTCCCCTGAGCCCATTCTTTATCTCTGCCTGGCTGTTGACAGGCCCATTCTTCATGCAGCTCCATTGCAGGCATCCACAGCTGCTACGCGTTTGTGATTGCAATAGCTGTGTCTTGCCCAGAAGATGGTGTTTTGCACCCCTTCTCAGTGCCTTCCAGTTCTTACGTTTTTTGCACCTCTTCTGAAATGTTCCCTGAATGTTGTTTAGGGCTGGTCACTTATCTGTCACTTATTCTTAGCACCTTGGGCAGCCGTGAGTCTGCATTCACTGCTGTTAGTTGCTCCAGTTAAGGCTGAGTGTAGCAGGTACTGGCTGCCATGTGGGCCCAACCTTTCTGAATTTTAAATGACACTGACTTATAGAGAAAACAGCTCTGAATTATTGCCTGGATATTCTGAGCATTTCTGGTAGTGCCTTAATTCCTTTCCTTTGCAGTGAGAATGGTTTGCATAATTCTGCATAAACAATCTCATGTGTTCTTCCACAGACTTCTCCGGTTACTGCCCGAACATTGGAAACTCTGATTCGACTGGCCACAGCCCATGCAAAGGCCCGCATGAGCAAGACTGTGGACCTGCAGGATGCGGAGGAAGCTGTGGAGCTGGTCCAGTATGCGTACTTCAAGAAGGTGATCCTTGTCCTTGATGGTGCTCACTCCTCCAAGGAATTGTAGCCCTTGGAGATTCCGTTGTGGGTCTGCTCTGCTTCCCCTGCTTCTTTCTCTCTAGTAGGTGGGGGTTGTGTTTCAACTAAATACCTGTCCTGTAAAGAAGAGAATTGTTTTCCACTTTACCATCATGGTTAGGACACCTCCCCAACCATGCTTTTTTAGTTAGTAGACATAGAATGCCTATTGTATGAAAGGCTTTAGCACATTGTTGTATGATGGCTAACAGCTTCTTCTCCTGCCTCTGGTCCTGGGATATGGGGCCCAGAGAGGTTAGGTAAGCCATTAGAAATATGGAAGTTATTTCTGCCGATGGTGCAAAAGGGACTCGGGGTTCTTTATTAAGTTCTGACACTAGTCACCCACACTTGCTTTGGTCCTAGGTTCTGGAGAAGGAGAAGAAACGTAAGAAGCGAAATGAAGATGAATCAGACTCTGAAGACGAAGAAGAGAAAAGCCAGGAGGAGCAGGAACAAAAGAGGAAGAGGTGTGGTGTGGCGATTAAAGTGAGATGGAAAGCTCCAGTGGGGCTGGGGAGAGTGCTGCTTGTTAGTATCAGGTCCTTCAGGGCCCTGTAGGGCTTCCAGACGAAGGTTGCCTGAGCATAGGAGAGTGTGAGAGCCTCTTGTGTTCAGTGTGATTTCCTGCTAAAGGAATGCTAAGTAGTCAGAGCAGAGCAGTGATCCTATTGTGAGGTCTTCGGATAGATTTCAAAGTTCTTGAGGCTGTTTTTCTCCCCCACCTGCTTGTGATTGAATTGGTAAGGATGGGTGACATGGCAAAAGAACCCTGAGAAGCAGGGCCTGTTTGTTTGTATTCTGGCCTGAAGAGTGGCTTTCAAAAACTGATGGCCTGTACAGGCCTGAGCCTGGTGTTTCACTTGGGAAACATCTTCACTTGTAGATTGTTCTGGGTTGTTTTCTCTGTGGTCAGAGCCCCACAATGGGGCTCCCTAAAGCTTTATTTGTTTCTTGATTGCTGTGGGTATTTTAGGAGGAAGACACGTCAGTCAGAAGCCAAGGACGGGGAGTCCTATGACCCCTATGACTTCAGTGACACAGAGGAGGAAATGCCCCAAGGTGAGTGAGCCCTCCTTAAGAGGTGTTCCTTTAATTCCCAGCCTTTTCGTTTGCTCTCGCTTCTCATGGGCTCTCATTGACTCCTCACATGGGACCCTGTGTCCAAGGTGCTTATCCTAAGAGAACCTCAGGGCAAACCTACAGTAGAAACTTGGGAAAATAGGCTTTGCTGGGTTGTTTATCTCCTCCTTAATGAGGTGAGACTTTTGTCACGCCTGGTGTAAGCATCCCAGATAATGCATTGATGGTCTCCCGCCTACTTCAGTTCCTCTCTCATGAGTGGGGATTTCCCTGTATCCCAATCGTCCTGCCTAGTTCTCTAAGAACCATAAGAAACAGAAATGTTCATAGGCTCAGCAGGGTTGGGGTTGGGGGTTCTCCAGTAGAAATGGATTCACCTTGCTGTCTTCCTCATCCCTGCCCCCATCACTCCTAAAGTGCATACTCCGAAGACAGCAGAGTCACAGGAGACCAAGGAATCCCAGAAAGTGGAGTTGAGTGAGTCCAGGTGAGTGCATTTGCTCCGGTGCTAGCGAGTTCCTGTGGTGTTGGGCCCTGTCCCAGGGAGAGCTGTGCAGCAGCCACCTTCCAACAGAGCTCAGAGCTAGTACTCTCAAGCTCTGTGAAACATTCCACACTCTGATCATAATGCCACACTTACTGGGAAGTTGAAAAAACCAATATACAGAACTGGGTAGCTTTTTCTCCAAAGTCCCAGTTGGTTTTACAGTTTGCTTTACTAATTCTGTCTTTGTAGAAATTTAAATTAATTCTTTTGGGGTCAGGAGGAAGAAGCCTAACTTACCAAGAGTAAATTTGATTTATCTCTTACTCTAGCCCCCTCCCGCTTGCACCCCCTTCCCCCAAACACTGGCCGTTTATTTGAAATGAATTTTTGTTAGTGTTTCAGAAAACACTGTACTGGACACTGAATAGACCTTACAGCTAACTTTGAAAATTCATTTTCTGAAACATGCAGCACAATGTATCTACTGAAGAAAGCTTGTCAAACATTGAAAAGATACTTAGGGAGAAAAACACTAAAATCAATTGTAACTCCACCCTCCCGAGACAATCACTAAACTAACTGTAAGTGCTTTCTGAGTCAGTGCAGACAGATTTTACTCTCACTGACTGTGGGCTTTCCAAAGGACAGGTGTTTCGGGTTCTCTGATGACATTTATGTGCTGTATTCCTTTGTTTACACTCATAAGTATAGTAAGGTGAGTCTCCAAAAACGGACTCTGGGTCAAGGAATATGTGCTTTTAAAACTATTACAAGTGTTAGTAAATTGTTCCCCAAAATATACCAGTTCACTTTTATTCTGTATATGATTGCTGATTTCCAGCAACTTCCAAGCCTCCAAAATCCTCTTAAATAAAAGAAAATTAAGTATGTGAATTTTTTCCTGCATGTATGTAAAGTGCGCCATGTGTGTATAGTGCCTGCAGAGGCCAGAAGAGGGCGTTGGATCCCCTAGAACTGGAGTTAGGGACCATTATTATCTGCATTGTGGGTGCTTGTAACTCAACCCAGGTTATCTGGAAGAGCAGCCAGTGCTTGTAACTGCTGAACCCTGTAGTGTAGATTGGCTTTAAAGAGGGATATGCAGATGTGGAGTAGCCAGCAGAGGCAGAAGGTGTGTACATGAGAGAGGTGAGGAGGAGACGGAGGACCAGAGAATTGAGGGACTACCAACTGTATTAATTCTTTGGTTTTTCCCATATGAATCTTGCCTTTGAGCATGAGGGTTTGTTGAAACCTTTTATTTGTTTTAAGGTGGGTTTTACATGTGGTTCAGGCTGCCTGTGAACTTGAGGCTCTCCTGCCTCAGCCGCCTGAGCACTGACATTATAGTTGTGCCCGACTGTGCCTGGCTACTGCTTTACTCACCATTTTCCCTGTCTTGGGCAGGTTGAACGCTTTCAAGATGGCCGTCTTGGATGTGTTCCATGAGGCTCACGCGCAGTCTGTTGGCATGAAGCACCTCACAGAGTCCATCAATCAGAATAAAGAAGAGCCCTTCTCTTCAGAGGAGATCCAGGCCGCACTGAGCAGGATGCAGGATGACAACCAGATCATGGTGTCTGAGGGCATCATCTTCCTTATCTGAGGAGGACTCATCTTTGAACTTGGTGTTGTGCCAAGAAAGTTTCTCTCAAGTATCGTCCCCTCCCCCAAGTCTTTGATCACCAATAACTGTTTAATTGACCGTTGTTAGGGACATGGGTGATGAAATGCCATTAGGACTCAGCGGAAGCTTTGAGAACAGATAGTGAAGGCTGCTGTTGGCAGGAAGGGTGGGGAGGACCAGGCCTCCTGTGGAAGGACTGCTCATACCTTCCATTCCCTGAAGAGATGCAGTGTTACTTTATCTAAGGAACGTGATGCAAGTTATGTTTTGGGACATAGGTGGTTTCTGTTTATGCTTTCTGTGCATGTAGGCTTTTTTTTCTTCATTCTCCAGAGCTATCTGTAGAAAAGGCTGAGGTATTCTGTGCTGCAGAGGCTCTGAGGGCGGAACAAGAGCTGTTTCAGAAAGCTTTCTTTGTAATTAGACTAATATATAATTTTGAGCTTAATATCCAGGACATTGAATAAACTTAATATTTTGTACACGTGATTCAAATCCTTTGTGCCTTTTTAATATGTGTGTGTGTGTGTAGGTTAGAGGATGTGGAGGAGTCAGTTCTCCATCCACTATATGGGTCCTGGAGATGGAATGGAGCTGAGGCTGTCAGGCTTGGCAAGAGTTTCCTTTACCTTCGAAGCCTCTTCCTGGCCCACTTAATGCTTTTT